TCTTACTTTACAGCATTTTTTCACACCTGCCTAAAACTTTTGCACAGTACTGTATATTTCAAAGATACAAAATCAAATGGCTCTTAGGGGACAGAAAGCCCTACTCTATTCTTAGTTACATGTTGACTGAATCTAACTTATTTCTTCTAGAACACCTTTGCATTTTGCCTGTGCTAATGGATATACAGACATTGTTACTTTCTTGGTGGACAACAAATGCCAACTAGATATCTATGATAATGAAAAGAGAACTCCATTAATGAAGGTATGCATTTAACATAGTGCAAATTTACTAGTCATATAAATTCAGATTTCTATAACTTCTGTGCTAATCAAAAACTATCAGTATAATAAATTGCTATTACTGTTTACAATCAAAAGGGACCAAGGAAAAGTTTTAATTTTGTGTTATTTAAAATACAAGCAGTGTTAATTAGGTGTATGAAAATAAGTTGTAGAGTTAACATCGTCTTATATGTTTCAGGCGGTGCAATGCCAGCAAGAATTCTGTGCTGTTTATCTGCTTGAACATGGAGCAGACCCTAATCTGAAGGATATACACAACAATACTGCCCTCCACTTTGCTGCCTTTAATTCTAGTATATCTATAGCAAAATATCTGCTTGAACATAATGCTCACATTGAAGCACAAAATAAGGTAAAATTCTAGTAGTTTACTTAATATGTCAAGTAGTTTTTAATTTTGAATAAGCCAGTAAGTATTTTATTTTGAATTTTTTGAATGTTTAAAATCATTCATGGAAGAAAAACACTGCATTATTTACCAGGAGACTAATGTGTAATAATAAGCAAATATTTGTGGCCTAATAAACTGGAGCTTGAGACTCTTCGCTCCTTATTTTGCTTGAATAAGTTGATTTCGATTTGTAATCTACTCTTAAATATGCTTGTGCTAGCTTTCAGATGTGAGTTTGTTTGGGCATACTTAACCATAATCTCAGGTTCTAATGTCATACAAGCTATCCCTTCCTAGAAGATTGTTAGAATAAATGAAGTGGGAGCAACTTAGGATATACAGTGGTACCTCGGGATATGAACACCTCTACTGACGATCTTTTCGGGTTACGACCAGCTCTGGTCGCAAAAATTTACCTCGCTATGCGAACTCCGCCTCGGGGTACGGTCATTTTTCCACCCTGACACGTGATCCGCAGCCATTTTTCCGCTCCTGACACATGGTCCGCGGCCGTTTTCCCGCCACGCAGCGCCCGGCCGTTTTCCCGCCCCTGACGCATGGTCTGCGGATGCCAGAACGGATTAACGGTAATTACATTGAACCTTATGGGAAAATTTGC